CTTATAATAATGAAATATTTTTATATATTTATCAGACTTTATAGTAACTTTATCAATATGGGCATAGCCACTTGAACACGTAAAGCCGCTTTCCTCCAAGCCAGTTTGTTTCGCTTGAAAATAGAATCACCAATTGGATGACTTATTGGAAGTTGAAGTATCCAATTTTTCTTCCATTTGTACCGGAGGAAATTTTATCCCACTACCGGGATTCGAAAAACCCTGTTCGACCTCCCATTGGCTTACTACCGTTTACACAGTTATTATAGAATTCAATGCGCACACCCAACTAATTTGCATATTATATTATTATATGCTATAACACGCGTGAATGGATTGACGTCATTTGGGGAAGTAACCCCGGTAAAATGCTCGAGACCCTTGCCATCTTAAAGGCGATTTGTTAAATTGAATTGAGAGGAAATAAGCGAATCGAAAATAAATTGATATGCCTTCTTAAAATGCATGAGAAATGTCCGACGTGTATATAAGTTTACAGAATTGTACATAAGTTTATTATCACTCGTTCGATCAGAAAATAGCATACATTTTTTAGATATTTTTAATAAATGATAAGTTCTACAACATCGGTCTTTGCGGTAGCAGCATGATTTTTATCCATTAGTATTTCCCGTAAGGAAAGTGGAATTTATTTGCCGAATCCTTGTATTCCTGTTACACCAGATTTCACTAAAGCGTACTTATTTCTTTAAGGTTTAGCCAAATTCTTCGAACGTTCAATCCATTACTTCCACATGTCAACCTTTATGGCTCCTAGCATGTTCCAATTCGGGACACGTGCACGCTGTTCGCGACCGGATCTTGTAGGTACATATACATGCACGTCTATCTACCTAAGCTACGGGAAGAAACGCTTGAAATTCCTTTGGCCGTACCTATATATCAGTTTGGCAAACAGGAAAATTCGTGATATTACACGAGCGATACCATTCTCGTTGAATTTGTTGAGGGGACCGCGGGCCCGCTCGCGGTTCGATATCGTTCTATGTATTTACGTCGTGCCGTACCGAGTCGTTGCAACGCGATGCACGCGCATCCAAGAGCGCGGCGCGGCGCGGATGCATTATTCGCCACGTTATTGCACGCGCCGTTGAACCGACTCCATTGTAAATTGGTCTGGTGTGTGCGTTCGTTGGAAACGTTGCCTGGGGGCGTGATAGTCGTGGCCGTGGGGCCTCCGGGCAAGGGGTGAACCCGATGAAACCCGGTAAAAGCCCTTATATTGAATACGTGGCTCACATCTCAATATCGCGATGCACTTACTCAATGCGATACCGATACGTCCCGACCTCAGCTTCGGCTAAGCGTGATAGACGCGGCCTATACTCCAGTTACAGCTGTTATTAATATTATAAAAGATTCCTCCCTTCTACTGTACGTAAATCGAACGAAGGTACCTTGAATAAGTATTTTAATTTCGTTCTCCAGATGCTTCATGTTTTTTTATAAAATGTTTAACAATATCTAATGTAGAGTTAGAATAGAGTATGTTTATTGGGACCGAATATTTAATGTATAATTTTATTTGTGTTATCACAAATTAGTTTGGTACATCTAGAAATGAGATTTCCATACTTTAGTATTCACTGCAATGAAATTTCCATTACCTACTATTTGTTGTATGTCGTAATATTGGCTCCTTCAAAGCTCTGGTTACGTCGATTTCTGGATGAACCTTGCGGTACAATTTCAGCCTCTAAGGTTCAATCTGCTACTCGGTAGTTTATGGAAGGTTCAATGCGGATCGAGAAGATTTTAGGGTAATTTCGCCTAGCTCAATGAAATTTAATGTATCGCAAGCAAAGGCGTTCATGTTTCCTTAGGTATAGAGAACCGTGGAAGTTAAGTTCTGTTATTAAAATTATTACCTTCGTTATAACTTCACTCCGAGATCAGACAGTCTGTATCAAAGTATGTCTAATCATATATTTTATTAAAGTACTGAATGAACTGACTGTGCGTTAATTGACGATCACGACACGTGCCTGTAACTCGGCAAAATTTGACAAAGGAACGGGCGAGATGAAAGAAGGAAAACCAAATATTTCATCGTTATTTTTCGGGCATCAGACTCGCATCGGTTTGGATGGTAGCGAGAATTGGTCAGGAACGTGTGTGCTCTGTACAAAATGAGAAGAAAAAAATATTCGTCGCGCTCCGTTATTTGATTTTTCCAACCGACTATTTTTAATTTTCGCCTGTAAAGGAATATTTGTTCTCGTTTTAAAAAATGTTTCATATCTAAAATTCTGTCTTCGAAATATTTTTCTAATAGTTATTCAAATAAGATCTTTATTTCCATTGATGTTTAGAAGTATTATAAACAACCTTCGTATACGTATTTAAAAGAAAATAGGAAAACTGTTGTACAGTGTAATTTTGGTTAAAGACATTAAGTCTTATATTAAGAGATCGAGTATTTAATTCGTAAAACTCTGTCAGCATCGATGCACGATTTATTATTAATAATTGAATAACTTTGTGTCAAGGCTCACGTGTATGTTAATTAGTATGCGATGAGATAATTGGGAAGGCGGATTCATACTGAGGTCTATTAGCTGTGCATCCACGTCGTCGGTGCTGGCAGGAAATTTCTGATTAATTAGTGGAAGCTGAACTAGGATGCGGTCGATCCATCTGCCTCGGTATTCCATAATGATTGGTTCGCCTTCGAGTTATATAATAATATCGGGTTATCCTATCTGTTTGTACGGAGTAAATTATGCTTACGCTACGTAATACCGTTAAAGGATTCTCCGTTTCAAATCTACTTGCATATAACGTAAATTCAAAAGTAAATCTAATTTTAACATATGTACACAAATATTTTTATACATTTACCTGCAAAATAGTTAATACGAAAAATGTTAATTAACAGTGAGCAACTCTAACTTGTTTAATTTCATCATGTGATAGACGATAAATATTGAATTATGAATTTTTAATCGTATTGAATCTGTTTTCAACAAGTAATAAGTGCGATTTGAAATTCATTACCGGATATGAAAGAAATAAACAACGTAATTTTTTCCCGATGCAGCAGCTGGCGTAGCGTCATAATTGATGCATCAGAAATGGATTTTAATCCGTTCGTTAACTGGTTGAAATAAATGTGTATGTTCAGGCGGCGAACAGTGCGATGACGCTTGTAAACGTCGTTACGGCTGCCCTATTTCCGGACCCCTGGGACATGCTAATTAAACTGGCTAATAGACGGTCCGGCCTTGGCTGGCCATCAATCGATTTAACTACAAATTCAATTGAACCTTACTTATTGGACGGGAAAAATAATTACATGCCCCAAAGGTTCGCCCTCGTTAGATTGATTCAGATCTTCGCGTTCCGCCGTGAATTATGCTCCGGCAGGAATGCTGCTCTGTCGTATTTAACAAAACGTGGACGATTTACGTTCGCGTCATACACGGTAATAATAAAACTTAATGAACGTGCGTTCCATTTATATCGATTCTATTCGTATTTAATTTTACTAATTACGAGATGCATTAAATCATTTGTGCGTTTCAATTTCATTTCAAAATAAATAATACATTTAAACATATCCTCAACGTATTGCCGAGATTTTATACTTATACACGTTCTTGCCCGTTCTTTTAAAAATGTTATTTAGAATGCGTTTCATGAAAGAATGATTTGACGAATTATTAAAATTTATGTCTACTGCAATATGGAACAAACGAAAAGGGATGTTCCTAAAGCATATTCTGAAATTGTTTCGAAACGATAAAAACATACGTGGGATGTACGTATGTAGCTGCATAAACCGTCGGCAGTCGCAAAAGATTTGCACGAGTCGAATATTCCGTGCATTCAATTTGTAGAAAAGAAGGTCGCGGAACTTTCAAAGTAAACTGGGTTGAATAAGTCAAAGAGTATTCCGGCAGCAACAATTTGATATAGCGACATGAAAGGGGACATCTCAGCGCCTTTTCATTTCGTGGGGCGAAGCAAACGTTTTAAAAAGAGAGAAAGGGACACGTCGAACGCGAGCCGAATGCCGAAACGGGCACGAAGAAATAGCGTGAAGTACGAATTGCCTGCGAGAATGCTTGTTAACCTTTTTGAGCGACCTTTCGGTCTCGAGATAGAAAACTAATTTATTTAATCCGGCTCGCGTCTGTTTTTACGTTTCCCTGCAAATTTTTTATTGAAAAGACGCAGTGTTTGAAAAACATAGTTCGTTGCGCTTGCTCGTGATAAATTAACAGTGCCTGCAATAAATTGAAGTTCACACAACATGATTTTATTTAACTGTATTCATGTCTTACAGTTCTCTAAATTATTGTTCTCAAGTAATAACATTTATAGTGAATAAATATTGTATGGATTTAAACAGTAACATAAAAAAGAGGATATGAAAATCCCCAAGGGTAAACGAAAAGATAAATCTGAGAATTAAGTTTATTATCTCCAGTAAAAGATACACGTCCGTCGCTTTTTCTAACCACTGTAATTCGCAATGTTTTTTCGTTTCACGTAGATTGGTAGGGAAGAAACTCACGTGACTCACGTCCCGGCAATATTTTCCGCTCTTTGACCCCGGTGTTGGGTTAATTGCGCATTGATAACTAACGAGGTTCCTTTGTGCGAATTTTCGGTGCAGACGAAAGACCCCGGCAAATTTCATTCGACGCGCCGGATTAAACACTTTCGCCCTGGCCCGGCCACGGCCGTGGAACGCGAATCGCTAATTCGCCATGCACAATCGTACGTTTAATCCAGCGTTACTTTACTTACCCCTGCAATTGGCCCATGTGTCTGTTCTTGAGCTATGATACGTTTAATGTCTGCCCTTTGTTGGTAGTATATAATGTAACGATGTTATATAGTCATTAAACATTTAGATTTGTAAAAAGAAAGAAAAAATCCTAACTTGAAAAAGAAAGGAGAAATTTACAACTGAGTCTATTATGTTTCTTTCAATTGAGAAAGTAATTTTAAAATTTATATTTTTGTTCCAGTTTTATCAATTGCTGGAAGCCAGTCCGGTGGCGAATAGCACGCTCGCGCATCGTCATGTGACGGTGTTCGCGCCCACGAATCGGGCCTTCCAAAAGTACAACGGCACTACGAAGAACTTGATTCTCTACCATATGTGTAAGTACTTTGTCTCCTTCCTGTTAAAAAAAAATTTTGGGACCGTTACTTTCATACTGGGAAATGTTAAAGTATATAAAAACTGTTTCTACGTGCACAGTGTGTAAATATAAACCTTATTTTTATTGCTTGTTGTTTATAATTGTATGAAAATTAATTATTAAAACAGTTTTCGTTAACCTGTACATATTACTAAAACAATTATTAGTATCGTATCACTTTCCATATAATTTTCATATTTGCATGATTTTCCATCTAGAAATAAATATTTGTTCGTTCTCGTTTGTTGAAAATAAATTCAGTCGCTGTTGGCTCACGTAATCTCACGCTGAATACGTCTACAATTCAGTACAAAAATACGAAGCGGAATGAAATCTTTATTGCTGCTTGAGGAAGCATACGAATTTCGAAATTTGGACCCTGATGCGTTGATCTCCTCTCCAGAGATGATACACGCTCTATGTACATATACATACTACATATACACGCACGTACATTCTAGGATATGTTAGCCGGCTGAACATGTCTGCATGCGAAACGACGATGGACTTGGCCGCAAAGGGAGATCCGATTGAAAATACATGAAATATGTACGGGAGTTGAAACGCGTGTAACCGTAATTCAAGGTTCTTCCGTGCTCGAGGATACAGCTATAGCGCGCGTCCAATTCGTCGTGAATTTCTGATACATACAATACGCCCCATGTATTTAGATCGATGGCCACTTGATTCTGTTCATCTTCGAGGATATACCAGTGCGGATGTCAAAATCCGTGGCAGTACATGATGCATATTCACTGTTTTGCTATACCGAACAACTCCCAGGTAGACAATAACGCGTATCAACTGTTACTCTTCTGCAGTTACATAAGAATTAAATAATTCAATCATCGGCACATTAATTGATAACTTCGTGAGGAGAAATTATTTCACAGGCAAATGAATTTGAAGAATAATCGAAATTATATTTCTGTTCAGAAAGTTTATCGGAAAATACTTTACAACTAACTATAATAACTACTGTTCGTGAAATACACGTAGTTCTCGGACAAGAACTAATAACGGCATGCTATTCAAACAACATTCGGGGACTTCCGTCATCCGTTTACAATAACTCGAACCATTCTCAATGCTGCTGTAACTCAGTGACATTAATCCCTACGGAGATGTCTGCTCATTCCCCAAAGCCGTTCTTCCTTAGTTAATGTAATGTTACCTCTGCAATACCGCGCCAGTGCACCAGCGGCGCATTATAGCGATTTACAACAGCCGGCCAATCCCTCATAGTGGACTCGCTGAGTCGGAGCGCACCGTATCAGTCCGCTGTGCCGCTTTATCAATTATTGCGAACGTCTCGCTTGTGCAATCTCGTCGACAGTCCGCCCGATCGGCTGTAATGACATCGGACACTCTTAATCCAGATAATTACGCAGCTGTTTGATTATTACGTGATCACGTTGTTTATGAATTTCGAATCCGCACGAATTTCCCATGCTGTCGATTGTATTTAATCACATCGTACATAAATCACACCTTTTTAAAACAAGAATCCGTGGATAGAAGCGAGCAAAGTTTAAATGCTAAAAGCTGTAGACTATTAAAAAACAAAAGGATATTAGTTACCAGTTTCTTATGGGACATTCGTCGTAGGACATTGTTATTCCTAAAAATTGCATTTGTTAGGACTCGGGATAGAAACGGATCCGGACCCTTTGTACGAGGATTCGATGAATCATTTCAAGCTGAAACTGTTCCGATCCGATTTGCATCCCTCTGACAAGGTTCAATTAGGAGCAATTGATTGTTTTACACCTACGGTCTGACATAGTCCTCTACAGTCTGTGGCGCAGCGTTGTCTGCGCCAACAGAAGGTACATTTCCCAGCAGGGACGCAGACAAAGAAACAGGGACGGGGACGAAACGATTTCCCCTTAGACGATCAGGTAACACGGCTGAGGGAGAATTTAATCGTGTGCGGTCTCGATTCCATTCAGGTTTCGATCGCGACTACTATAGTAGTCAACCGCTGTGAAGGGTAGCACGGGGGGAACTCTGATTGTCAAGGATTGATCAATCCAAGATTGAGAAGTCACCGCAGGGAGAAAGCTCGTAGACTGTTGACATTATGGATCACTCAAACATACGCCGTATGAATCCATGGAAATTCCTGTCCGATTTTTATTGAACGTATATTACAAATCATTTGTATTGTACAAGATATTTTTATCTGATTTCGAAAATTTCTGCCCGCGTTTTTCACAAAAATGTGCGGCGTACGCAAATGTAATAAATTTTTAATATCACAGTTATATCCGGTTTTGCGGGACGATTTCCTATACCCGATCGTCCCTTCGCTTCGTGTCCCGAGGCATTTTCACGATTGCTACGGAGAAAACGCGCCCACGAAGGAAACAAGGAATTAAGAAGGGCGTTACCATTTTATGAAGAAACTTCCTTTGCGCGTTTAAAATGCCTCAGGCGACAAAGGGAGGAGGTAGAAGCCGTACGGATTTCTCGAGTTATATAACTCTTTTGAACGACAACAATTTCATTCGCAGTTCAATTTCGCCACCAGATGAAGAACTTCGTTCCGACAATTTCCAACAATCTTTCTTCGCACTGTCATTCTTTTAATACGTTCGTGCTAATTTTATATATTTCAAGTATGTCACTTTCTAGTTAACAGTGCTTGAAACAGTTATCATGTGTCTCTTAGAAATGAATGATACTTTTAAATTGATTAAACATTTATTTTCATTCATGTTTATTGATAAAATGTATGCAATAGAAATACCAATGAAGTAATACATATCTTAAATCAGACAATTAGATCAAATCATATTTATTTGTACAGCCTCTACATTCATTGTATTTTACTTTGTCTGACCAAGCACGTACCTATACTACTTCCCTGTATATATTCTTCAATATACTGTTACATTTATATTATTCTTGATTTATTGGAAGCATTTTTATATCACGTATAATGAAATACTGATAAGCGTAATAATTTTTCTCAATTTTATTGCATGGAAATTTTATTCACGAGACTCGTAACATAGGCAATGTAATCTACCCGTCGTTAAAGGCTGCGCGGCGTCGGCGGTACGTTCAAGGGGGAATAGATAGCGACCTTCATTAGGTCTTCTTCGTGTTTAATCCGCGATGAATGCCGGCGTCGAGGGGTGAAACAACGAGTGCGTTCGCCGGCGCAAAGAAGGGCACCCCTGGGTATTTGTAACCTTCCTCCGTCGCCGGCAGCGAAGCCAAGTCGCTGACGGATAATCGTCATTCACAAGGCGGATTCCTTTTTTGTGCTCCCTCCACGCATAGACAGCAACCCTTCGACAACGCTGCGAATACTTGGAATACTCGAGGGTTCTCCACGTTGCCGGCGAGGGGGTAACGCGGAGCTTCGCTCGATTAAGACGTGAGAAAATTCCTTTCGCCGAGAAGAAGAATCCGCGAGAAGGTTAAAGTTTCATATTAGCCGGAATATGCAAACTTGTTTGTTTTTTTTTTTTCTAAAAACAATTCCTGTTGGTTCGTTTGGATACCAGAGTATGAAATTATCGTTCGACGTTTGAATAAAAAATATATAGCATAAAAGTTTGGAGGGAAGTGAGAGAGAGAAGTGAGTCAAAACGACTATTGGCTATTGATAATCGCACGTGGAATTAACTTGAGGGTTGCATGAAAGTTCTGTAATAAATAACTGTCGGGGGAAAGTGGAATACTGTTTTTTCATGGATGAGGGGTAGTTGTCCCAACCCTCTCCGGTGACTCACCTCGTGCAACGGGTACAAGTATACTACACGTAAGGAAAGAAGTAACAAGAGCCACGTTCTTTCTATGCGGTCACGAAAGAAACGGAAAGAACAGTTGTTCGGTATAAAATATCCGTTGGGAAAGTTTCGTGACAAGTTAATAGGAGACTTCGGGCAACTGACGGTGCCAAAAAAATTGCACGCTTGCTATACGAATAGAAGATTGATGCGTTTTTAGGTATAATTAAGCGATCGACGTTACTTCAAGAACTGCTGCCGCAAATAATATAATAAATATAAATCTGAGAATTAAGGTAATTTTCTTGAACTCAAAGTACGTATTTGATGGGAAGTGCGCCTGCTAAAACGGAAATATCAAACGCGTTGGTAAATTTGCTCGTGGAAACTTAAACTTTGGGAGTGCAGATCGGATAGGAGGAGCGGGAGCGAGAAAGAGGAATAGAGCAAAACGGATCACAGTTGAGATAAGAGAAATGAAAGGAAGAAGTGGAAGAGAGTACACGATGAACCGGGCGACGAAGGAGTGAGCGAAGAACCTCCCCCTTAAGAGGTAACTAAACTGTTCGGCTCTTCGTGTGAAACTTAAGAACAGCGTATATAGGCGGTGGAGTCAGGTGAGAGACGGAGGACTTTGAAGGACCTACGACCGTGGAGGAGGAAAACTGGTTACACGGTGCTTGACGTAGCGGAGAACAAGCCGGTTAGGTCTCTGCGACACATCTTGCGGCTCCTAGCCACAGGCCAAACCGTAACCTCTTGCCTCTGTTTGTCTTGTTACTGACTGGAGAATTTCAAACTCGTTCGACCGGGCGAAATCACTTTGTAATCAGATCCATTGTGCCGGAAAATCACATACTCTTGCCTGGGTTAATTAATCGGCGTGGAAACACGTTTTCATGTTACACTATGCAATTAGTAAGCGCGCGTCTCACGCTATAAGTATTAACAAAATAATATGAATTGTGATCGTTTCATTAGCGGCTTGTTTTCGTCGTGACTTGTATCATAAATTCTCAAGTCACAAGACACGGCTGTATAATATGTTACTCATCTCTGTTCTTCTTTCTTCAATCAAGCATCGTGAATTATTTTCGCGATTGTTCACCGAATTGCCCTCCTGAATTTCTCCAGAGACCAGAACGGACTGCACATAATTGAAAACAAAACCATAAAAATCGATGCAACAAGTTGAATCAATATTATCGTCAAACGC